TGCATTAAAAAAATGTATTACTGTTGCAAATATTCATGAGATTTATACTGGGGCACAGCTCATATATACTGGGGCACGGGGTCTGGCGACGCCGATGATTAATAAAATCCTTATTTCAAGAAGTAAAAACTCCATAGAAAGCATGAAATAAAAAATCCTACAAAGCTTCTATATGTATTTAGACCCTCAACAATGTCTCATAATAGCAGCTAAAATGATATTTGTAGATAGTTTATTAAAAAAAGACCAGTATTTTCTTGATTTTTTTTTTTTTTTTTTTTTTTTTTTTTTTTTAGAACAGAAAGATTTTGTTTTTCCTATAAAAGAAAATCTATGCTTCTTCTTTATGAAACATTTTAGGTAGGGATGTCCCGATCAGCATTTTAGGCCTCCGATCCTTATCCGATCTTTGAACCTCAAATCCGATCCGATTTCGAGTCCCGATCCGATATTTTGCCTTTAGTATTGAAATTGATCAAACTCAAATATATTTTGAGCAAGTAACCCAACTTTTTATTAGACTAATATTTTATCAAAAAGCATTACTATTATTATTGCAAATCCCATGAAATAAAAATCTTATCCAGAATTAAAGGGCAGCTTCAATTTAATATTTTAGACAAAAGTAAAAAGAAAAACTTGGTACAGTATTATCCAAAAGAAAGTGCTACCCAAGATCCACTTTTAGCTTACAAGTGCTTAACATAGGCTGCCATAAAGTCAATAAAATTAAAGGGCACTGATCTCTGAGAAAACATAAAATGCATTTGCTCATCTTAAAAATGGTGTAAACAGATTGACAAATAGTCACATTTAAGTAAATTAATTTGAAACATTTAAAGCCAACTTAAAATGTAAACAGAATTCAGTCAAATGAATTAAAAACTTTGGAACTGCAACTTAAAAGTAGCATGATCACTGAAATATGACAATCAACAAGACCATTCTTCAGTTATGAACAAATACGTACGTAGTCCTAAAAACAACTAAACAACCAGCTTTGCACCGCCGCAGATGTTTGTATTTCGCAACTACCGTCAACCGTAACTAGCGGGTACTTTACGGCAGTTGCCGTAAAGATTGGCGCGACTAGTCAGGTAATGTAGCCGAGCTCCGATCACAGGAAAAAAGGAAAAGATCGGGCCGATCCGATCTTGAGATCGGGATCGGGACATCCCTAATTTTAGGTTTTCTCTTATTTCAAAAGCTAAAAAATGAAAGCAAACTGTTGGTGTTTTAAAATTACAATACCCTATAGAGGATATTTACCAAAAATAATCATTAGTTTTGATTAAAAATCATGTAATATTTTCAGCTCTAAAGGACTTTTAATTAGATGTACTCTGGGATAAAAAGCTCTTAACCCATTTAGGATCTTTTATCATATTTAGGTGGTTGGGGGTTTTCAGGGGGGAACAGAAAAGCATTGGGAAAAAAAACCAAGGTAATGATTTATCATTGAATGAATCTTCTTCATTTTAAAAATGAATAATTAAAGGGAGTTATCCTGTCCTATCCTATTCTCTTCTGTCCTGTCCTGTCCTGTCCTGTCCTGTCCTGTCCTATCAGTCACTATATCTTTTCATGTCTGTACAGAGAAGGAGGCTGTACCTTTGTCATGAGTTTACTAAGACTGAGGGCTGAACATGAGAGAATCTGTTAAAATGCATCTTTTCTGTTTAAAGATGGTCACTTCAGGTCAATTTACAGTGACACCTTTCATGTTTTATTCCAGGTACTGTGTGCTACTTATCACCGGGGAGGATGAAGCCTTCCTCCCAGGAAACAAGGCCTTCGTTGACTTTGCCACTGTCAATAAAAAAGATATTCTACGGTTTGCATACGTCTACCAGCGACAGCAGCAGCCTCTCTGTCAGGCGCTGCTACTCACCCAGGCCGCCGCCTTTCCTCAGGTCGGTTCACACATGCGATCAGTAAACAGCAAGCATCAGATTAACCATTTCTTTTTTTTTTTCATCATGATGCAGCTCAGAACATCGAAACGTATCAGATTTGTTGTTTCGGGTTACAGACACAAGTGCTGCGCTTCAGTTTACAGTAAAGGTGCTCTCCAATAACACTGGCAGGTGGTGATTCTGGAGAGGCGGAGTCAGGCGGGCAAGGTGTTGTACCGCTCCGTGAGTGGCGGCTGGAACGGCAGCGAGGAGGACAAGTTCCGGCTCCACGAGCAGCTGGAGCTACTGCAGAAAGACCCCACCTACCTGAGGTCCGACGCCACCTTGCCGGAGCTCAACAACGAGATGGCTCCAGTAAGTCATGGGCGACCTGACCTGAGCTCAGTTTGTAGACAGAAGATCATGACGCTTATCTCGTTTTGATCTTCCCTCCAGATGTTTATTATTCAGTGGATGAATGCTGCCTATGATTACTTGCTTCAGATATACGACGGCCTTCTCTACTCAAATTGGTAAGACAGTCCTTCCCCAGGAAGCTGCAGAATACAACGAGATGAATGATGTTAAAAAAAAAAAAAACACCAGAATCTGCTTTAAGCTGTTTCTGTTGTTTTTTTGTGGTCTTGTTAAAGCTGCAGTGCTCCTCTGTGAAAGAGGAACAACAATAGAGAAGAAATCTATGTAGGAAATTTATATGAAGCAAATCATTGTATCCTCTTGGATCCATAACTCAGAATATTTTCTTTTTTTCCCCCGTTGCATCTAGGCGAGAGATGATGCCCATCCTGTCCTTGATCTTCTCGGCTCTCTTCATTCTGTTTGGTACCGTCATCATTCAAGCTTTCAGGTAAGCTTTAATGACTTTAGTGAATACGCAGTTTTCAGTTTCTGGTTGTTAACTGAAATTTCACCTCCATTTCCATGTCTGCTGCTTTTTACAGCGAGCCAAGTGAGAGCAAACCTCATAAACCGAAGCCAAAGGAGCAAAACCAAACTCAAGCTGAGGACGATGCATCAAGCAGAACAAGCACCTCAAGGTGAGTCAGTAAGATGAAATAAGCATAAGATGAATCCAAAATATGACTCACTGCAGGGCTCCCAAAGTGGGGGTTGGGAACCTTGGGGGATCCTAAGATGGCTTTCAAAATCATTTTGATGTGATGCCTAAGGGCTAAAATATGAATAGAACCAAATAAATATAAATGTCCCATGAAATAAGTAGATGTAACAGTTATTCATTTATCTACTACATGATTTAAACAAAACATCCACATTTGAATTGGGAAATGCAGATATTATTTGATAAAATGATCAAACGTTAATTTAAAGTATTAGAAACGCATTTAAAATTATGTATTAATTAAATGTCATGAAATATAAATATAAAAAAAAATCTAATGAATTCACTTCATATACATAAAAGAATGTAGCGTGAAGTAACTGTATTTTTCAGGGCTCACCTGCTTGATGCATTGTTGTTTTTGCGGTCACAGGCTGAAAAGTTTGGAAAACTCTGACTTATACTTATTTTAGGAGCTGTCGAAAGTCAGAACTGTTCATTTAGGTAAAGGTATAGTGGAGGATTTTCACAAGTTTTTGAAAAAAAAAAAAATAATGCACATGCACAACCCTGTACTTGTTCCTGAGAGGGAACGCTTATCAAAAGTGTGCACAAGTCCATTTCTCCTCTTGCATGCTCTGTTTATAAGTTGTTGTTTGCATCGCTCATACAAGCTTATTTTTCAAAAGGAGATTTTCATTTTTGTCCACTATGTCAGACTCACCACCGGTAAATAAAAATGGGACGAGCACGTAGGACGGCCTCACATAAACATATCACCAGAATGATTGACAATTAGGAGGACCACTTCATTATCTATGTATGGGTTTTTTTTAATTATTTTTTATTTCAACCTACAGAAGAAAGTCTCTTAGCTTTGTAATTAAACCGATGCACGAACCAGATGCCCTTGTTGAAGGCCAATGGTTAAGGAGTAACTATGGATTTCCAATAGAAACTTTCACAGTACAGTTTATCAGCAGCGTAGATTTTCCCACTTTGTGTAATTAGTGTTGAAATAGGGTCTTTTTTACAGCTGGTCTCTTTTCTATCAACAGTTCCTGGTTTCTTTCTAATGATTTCTTATATCAGCTCTAGTATCACTGAAGGGCTGGTTATACTCCCGCAGCAGCGTGTCGCAGTTAGCTTGTTATTCCATGCCACAACGCAAGAGGGACACACATGAACTAGCTGTGGGTCTAGATACGGCCGAGGCGGTGAGGAAGTGGGGGCAAGTTTGTCCGACAATCGAGGGACATGAGGGAGAAAAAGAGCGAGGATCCAGATGAAAAAAGGGTCCCAGCGCTCTTGCGCACTTCGCTCTTCTAGCTGGTCCATCTTCACGAGTCGTTTTCCACAATGGCGGTCAAACAAACAAAAGATGCCGGTAAGGTACCAAGCAGGAAATGCGCGTAGTGTAGAACGAATGAAGGTTTTACCAATCAGAGGCCTCCTGTCTGTGGCACTGTCTGCGGTCACCTACAATTTCAGAGAGGTGCAGCAGAGTGCCTGCAGGAGGGGGCGGGGCATATCTGCCTTAACTGCGACACACACACAGACGAGCTGGTTTCTGAGTATAAATCGGCCTCTAACTCTGAAGTTAGGGCTGTGGAACACAGATTGGAGAATAAAGGATGTTTGCTGCCACCTTGTGGCAGATTACCTTTTCATTTAGCCACTTTTGCATCCCAGTCACACTTAGCAGAATGTCAGATTAATCCTTTCATCTTTACGGAAATAAAATGTAAAGATTTGAGCACATTTATAATTTATCCTTGAGAATGAAAATAACCTTGACTTAGCAGCAGATAACTACAGCAAAGAGGAGCACCAGGTCACCATTACAGCCATTAGAAACATTCAACATTTCAAGAAGGTCAAACCATCACTAACGTAATTGCTTGGATTTTGACTCTGCTTAGACTTTAATCAGAACGCTGCTTTGGTCCGATGGGCCAAAGCAATCACCACTGATTGTTTTGACACAAAGTAAAGCTGGATGGAAGGAGGACCTCTGATGCTGTGGGAATTTTGGGCTCCCAAAGGCGCTAGGAACCTCATAATAGAGCATAATATTGTAGATTTTTTTTTAGACTTTGCAAACTATAAACCATATGTATGATTTTCATCTTAAAGACGGTTTTTGCTGAAATGATCTACAACTAACACATTTAAGGGATGCATGGATATTAACATAGGATGAATCTCCTTGTAGTTAGACATTTTTAATCTGCAGGTGCATAATATTTCCTGTTGCTCTTCACTTAGCAGTGCTCTCCTCTGTTGTTTCCTGTGGTTTGTGCAGCCGTCCTCCAAAGAAGGACTTTGTGGAGGTGACGGAGCTTACAGACATCACCTACACCAGTAACCTGGTCAGACTGAGACCAGGTCACATTAACGTTGTCCTGGTGCTCACCAACGCCTCCAAGAATGCTTTGCTCAGGAAGTTTGCAAAGGAGGTTTTCTCTTTCTCTGGGTGAGTCTTGAGCATCAAAATGCACATTAAAAAGTTGCTTCTATCTGCTGTGAATCCTAAAATAGTTTCCCTGTCTCAGCACGCAGACCCTCCACTTCTCCTTCCTGAATGCTGACAAGCACCGCCACTGGATGCCTTCGCTCCTTCGCTCGGCCTGTTCAGCTGCACCCAGCGAAAGCCACTCAGATGACGAAGAGTCTTCAGATTACACAGGCCATGTCCTGGCCCTTAACGGCTACAAGAAATATTTTTGCCTCTTTAGACCCGTCTTCACCGGGGAGGACCCCAACGACTCATCATCCGACACCTCTGACTCTAAGAGGAAATCGCGATCCAGATCCAGGTCCAGCTCCCACTCTCGCTCCCGTTCTCACTCCAGGGAGGACGGAGCCGTCCCTAAAAGAGGTTCAAGCAGAGCCACGAGCCTAGAGGTCCACCACAAGCTGGATAGGCTGGGACTGTGGATGGAAAGGCTCATGGAGGGCACTCTGCCCAGATTATACGTCTCATCGTGGCCTACGCTGAACGATGCCTCTGACCCATCTGCAGAGAGCTGAGGTCAGAGTAAAGAACATCTGTTTTTTTGTTTGTTTTGTTTGTTTTGTTTGTTTTGCAAGCTGCAGGTCAACCTTGTTGTTTTAAAATAACTGTTTAGGTTCTGTTGGGTAAACGTAGCGCAGCATTCGTCTGTTAGCACTGATGCTGTTGGTGAGCAGCAACACTTTGCAGAGGAGTGTAAATGCAAATATCCATATTGCTTCATCATATTCAGTCTGTATGAATCACAGTGCAGGACGTTAGCCGTGTCTATCTGAGAGTAACAGCAGGAGGCCATTACCAGGCCAGAATATTTGTCACGCCATTGTGTACTGTTAGTTTTATTTATAAATTATAGTCATGATTACATGGACGACTAGTGACATCTGTAGTGAAGAGCGGCTACAGAAAGCCTTCTCAGTCAGACCCAGATATAAACGTCATTTACATCACAACCGAGTGCACTTGCAAGTCAATGTAGCTACTTGGAACAAGCAGGACAAAACAATGTTAAAGAAAGACCAGAGCTGAAAGTTGTGCTAGAAGTTTCTGCATAATAATAATAAGTTTCCAGAAAGCTGTTCAGAAATGAACAGATGTGCCTGTTTATTTGGGTCATACAGCCAAATGGGATTTTAAATGACCAAAAGAAGCAGTTTAAGACACGTAAATTCCAACATGGATGCCTATGTTAGGCTAAAAAACTGATCCAGCAGCAAAAAACTTTAAGATCTTGTCCCTAAATTCTCATTCTGGTCTTAAAGTTGTATTAAAAAGCCATTTAGATGCCCTCCAGAACTCACCACTAAGGAAATGCATCAAAAAGCTGGACTGTAGGATTGATTCATTCAGTTCTCTTGTCTTTTTCTGTTCCCATATAGGCTCTTAAAATGTGTCTAAACTGAAGCGATTTTTGTTTCCTTCATAAATACCAGTTATCTATAGGGAAATGGATAGATGGCTTTTTATGGATATGCATCTTTTCTTTATTCAACCCAGGGCGTTTTTTCTGCCTCCCCATGGTACTCAGTAGGTGAAGTCATGCAGTGATGGAAACAGGCATTTTTTTTTTTGCACTACTTGAATTAGATGACCTCATCAAGCCTCTGAAATGCACTTCAAGTTTTAAAATATCAAATCTCTTTAGTTAGATTCTTTAGCAAGTGGTCTGAAGGAATGCCAGAGGTATTTATACAGAAGATAAGACGGTGAACAATACACTGGGGTGTTTTTTTTTTTTTTACTGATTTGTTTTTCTGGATTTTAACATCATAGGCATGTAGACATTTATTTGTTCCCTTTTTTGATAATCTGAGAAAAAGATATACAGACTCTAGCTGAACTCAAAAATAATTTATTCCATTCAGGCAAAAATATGAGAGCTGTATATGATGCATGTTTAACTCTGAATAAACACTTCAGTCTTATCTTCCTCATAATTATTAAACTGTGCAACCACTACAAAACATTTTATACATTCAATAAAAATAATAGGAAAAGTTATTTTAAAATTTGATGATTGTCAAACAACCTTTACTGTTTTCCTTTCAATCTTTAGCCTTTAATCTCAAAGGATGAATTCTTGGAGTAGGTGGTTTTTAAAAGCGCTGCTGGATGCATGTCGTTTATGTTATTTCCCACTGACTGCTTAAATATTTCACCTTACCTAATTTTCATTTTCTCAACTTTTAATATCTTGCTGCTCAAGGAATATTTGCTGTAAACTAAATATTAAAATGTTTTTTTTTTGTCCTGACTGTAAAATAGAGAAGCAATTTTCCAAAATTGTTTATTTATTAAAATGTGTGCATCAGATTCTGTTTTGCTCCTTTGAACTAATAAATATTTCTATCTACATCAAAAAGTGCATCTATTCTTTTTTTCAATGAATAGAAACAAAAATATGTATATAGGTATGAAGTTAAGGTGAATGCTAAACCCTCCAGTTGATAGGTCAGTATTGGTAGCCCTTCCTGTGACTCGCTACCCATGAAGTAGCTCTAAGCCTTTAAAAAGGTCGATGACCCCTACTCTAACCTTTCAAAAAAAAAATCTTTTTAATCATAATGGTTATTCCACGCCATGATTCCATAAACTGCTATAATTAATAATTATGTTAACAGTTCAAGCAAAAATTTCAAAGTATAAGTAGTCATATACGAATAATCACAATATTTTTCTTCTTTAAAAGAACTGACTGGAAATTCTCATCCTCTTCAGCTTTGGTTGTTGTTGCACACTGTGTCCACCAGGTGGCAGCAGACTTTCAGTTTGCTGGATTCCAGGTCGTGACGGATGAGCTTAATGATTTCATATGGTTATCTTTCTCATTTAGTAATCAAATCTACATTTGTGTTTTATATTGACTTAGAATTTTTCTATGTTGACCTATCCTTAATAAACAGTGTTTGTTTCAACATCAGGCTTTTTTTCTCATTTCATATTGCCAGAATTGGTATCCCCATCTACATTGTATAAGAACATACACATTCTTAAGATTAGGATAAGATACTAGGCTTCGATTTAGGAAAAAGTAATATTCCTACTGGGTATTGCCTATAATAAGTACATTCCACTTATTT